AGGCAGCCAACAACTACAGCCTAATCACTCTGATGTCACCCAATCTCCTCAATGGGTCAGGAGGGACACTCTTCTTTGAGGGTTTTACAGGAAAATCTGTTTTAGGCTTTTTATCCCAGCTTCCAGTCTTGTGTGTATTTATTATCTGATGGATATAGTTGTCTTGCCCTGTGTCTCACATCTCCCTCAGTGGACGTCTCTCTCTCTCTCTCTCCCTTCCTTCTTCTCTCTCTCTCTCTCTCTCTCTCTCTCTCTCTCTCTCTCTGTGTATGTGTGTGTGTGTGTGTGATGATTTAATTTTGTGTGTGTGTGTGTTTTGTGTGTGTCTGTATTTGCATCATAGGTGTGCTGGGTGGCCCCTGAGATCAGAAGAAGATGTCTGATGCCCTGGAACTGGAATTAAATGGTTCTGAACCATCGTATGGTTCTGAACCCAGATCCTCTGTAAGGACAAGTGCCTTTAACCACTGATCCATCACTCCAGGCTGTGTGTGTACTTTTAGGACTCTGTAGCCCATATTGGCCTATAATTCACAGTGTAGCCAAGGGTAGCTTGGAACTCCCGGCAGTACTCCTGCCTCAGCCTGTCAAGTGCTAGGATTAGAGTCATAAGTCACCCTGCTGGGCTAACATCTTAGTTTTGCTTAAACAACCAAGGTTCAGAGAGTAATTTGCCCAAGGTCACATTGCAACTGAGCAGCCAAAAGTTCAACACATCTTAAGCATGAAGTAGACTCAAAACATTTGGATGCTAAAAAAAAAAAAAAAAAAAAAAAAAAAAGCCGGGCGTTGGTGGTGCTCGCCTTTAATCCCAGCACTCAGGAGGCAGAGACAGTTGGAGCTCTGGGAGTTGGAGGCCAGCCTGGTCTCCAGAGCGAGTGCCAGGATAGGCTCCAAAGCTACACAGAGAAACCCTGTCTCAACCCCCCCCCCAAAAAAAACATTTGGATGCTAAAGATGCTAGTTGAATGATTCCCAAACTTTACCTGAAGAACTTGCTAAAATCTTAATAGCTTGAATGGCTTTTAAAAAATTATATATATTTTATGTATATTGAGTGTTCTGCCTGCAAGTATTTGCACCATGTACACGAAATGCCTGTGGAAGCCAGAAGAGAGTGTTGGATCCTCTGAAACTGGAGTCAACAGCCAGTTGTGAGCCACCATGTGGGTGCTGGAGAACAAACTTTGGTACTCTACTAAAGCAGCAAATGCTCTTAACCACTGAGCCAACTCAGGCTTTCTCTGTGTGGCCCTGGCTGTCTTGGAACACCAGGCTGGCCTCAAACTCAGAGATCCACCTTCCTCTGCCTTTGGAGTGCTGGGATTAAAGGGGAGCTATGGTGATATATGTTTATTATCTAATAAAGCCACTGAAGATCAGAAAAACAAAGCAGCCAAGCCTGTAGCTCTTACCTCTACCAAGGGCTGAGGAGAAACTAAATCTCAGAATAGAGCCTGAGACAATGAATGGGCTCTAGTCTTTTACTCACCTCTCTAGGGCTGGGATTAAAGGCTCTGTAGACTGATTGACTCTTATGTATCCCCTGGTGGCCTTGAACACAGAGATCCATCTGCCTCTGTCTCCTGAGTGCTGGGATTAAAGGTGCGTGCCACCACTACCTGGCTTCTATAGCTAAGTAGTGTGGCTGGCTTTGAATTCTGATCTTCAGTGGCTTTATTAGATCATAAACCACATATCACCACAGGGAGTGCCACCACCTGGCAGGTGTTAACTTTTTTCTACCTACAGGATGAGGATGTTGCTACCTCCTAGGCGACTCACCAGAAGTTTTGGTCAGCCCCAGGCTATGGCCATCAGTCCCAGTGGAGCATGCCGTTTTCCTTTCAGGAGGGTCTCTTCACTCTACACAAAATTGATTGGAAAAGCAAAGTTGTATTTGACTTTTTCAGATACCAACAACAGAGGTTGAAAGCTTACCTTCCGGCCACCTGAGGGAGCCACAGGCTTGCTTGGGGACACTGATGGATCAGGATCCTAGGGTCCAATCCTCTCTGTCCTCTGGCCCCATGTTTTATGTCTCTTAACAAGGTGCTTTCTTGCTGGAGCCAGAAGTTTTCCACCTGTTAAAATATAGGTATGGGTGGCTTTGTGTCTGCTCCTGGTCCCTGCTGGATCTAGGAAAGGAGACAAAGATTCCTATGGGCCCTTCTATACTTTGGGGTCAGTGGCTGTACTTAGGAGCCTTTGGTGCCAGGATTAAACCCAGAAGTACCTGTGGAGCTGTTTTCTCATCTATGCAGGGGGGTAATGGAAAATCAAATTCAAAATCATCATGGAAAGGAGAGAAGGGGGCTATGATGTGTCAATGAGAAAGCCATCTCCACAGTAAAGGCCCTCTTTAGCCACCACTGCCAGGTCTCTTTGTTGTTCTAAACCAGTAGGTCTTTCATTCTAGTTTCCAGACACTTTTCCCTCCACACCTCAGGACCTCTCTCCAGCTAGGGGTTTCTCTGGACCAAAAGTATCTGTTACTTTATTCATTGAACCTGTTTCTAAAAAAACCAAACACACTCTAAGAGTGCTCATGTTTTAGTGGAGGTCAGATCAATACACAAATTGGTGAGACATTCTCAGATGCTGTGATAAAAGCCAAGACTAAAAGCAACTCGGGGAGAAAAGGTTTTCGCTTCCTAGGTCAGTCTATGGCAAGAACTGAAGCAGAGATCAAAGAAAGCTGCTTTCCTGGTGTGTTCATAGAGCCCAGGGTTACCTACCAGGCCAGAGGCAGCACCACTCAGAGAGGACTGGGCCGTCCCACATCAACCATCAATCAAGAAAATGTCCTACAGACTTGCCTATGGGCCAACTGAAGGTTGCATATTCTCAATTTATTGTCCTTCTCAGATGACTCTAGCTTGTGTCAAGCTGACAAGAAGAAGTGGTAAGAGAAAAAGGAGGAGGAGGAGGAGGAGGAGGAAAGACCTAGCACTGATGCTGTCAGGATCAGAGCTATTTGAGGAGAGATATCAGGGTGACCAGACACATCTGGCATGAGACTATATACTTTGGGAAGTGATATTTGAACCCAGACACAGATGGTAATCAAGAGTAATAAGCACAAACTGTGTGTGGTGGCGCACGCCTTTAATCCCAGCACTTGGGAGGCAGAAGCAGGTTGATCTCTGAATTTGAGGGCAGCCTGGTCTTCACAGTGAGTTCCAGGACAGCCAAAGCCACATAGTGAGACTCTGTCTTAAGAAAAGAAGAGGAAAAAAGCCCACCTACAAATGCCAAGTCCTCAATCTTTTTGTTGTCTCATTTTGATTTTGTTACTGAGACAGGGTCTTTTTAATGTAGCAGTGGCTGGCCTAGAACTCAGAGATCCACTTGCCTTGCATTTTCTCGCTGAGATTAAAGGCATGTGCCACCCTCCCGGCTCCAAGCTCTCAATCTCTACAAACCAGGGAAGAAGGCCTCCAGGGGAGTCTCAGAAACTTGGAAGGAGGCCTTCTCCTTTGTACCATGTGGTTGGGTGGCATGCTGCCCTCTAGTGGTTTTACAAGAGTGAACTAGTACACCATAGACTTGGAGCGCCGCATGCTTAGGATTTGACTGGGGTCTAAATTTGTCACTTGTTCTTGTTTTTCCCACATGTATTCAGTCAACAAATATTTCTTCAATGTGGAGCGTGTGCCAAGAAACATTCTGAACGCTGGGGGTTACAGCAGTGAAACCACTGTTAGCACAGCTGCTTTTTAACATCCTAAGAGTTCCTCAGTCCGTACATTACCTCACCTGAGCCCCACCCTCAACCCCCATATTCCGAAGCCAGATATCCCTGACTTGTAGTTCCCTTCCCCTTTAGGTCGTGGCTCTTTATATTGCTAGCCCAAGTCTCAGTTCAGATGAGACCTAAAGGTGTGAAGGTGATTTTAGTCTGCCCTACAGAACAGAAAATTCCATGAAGGGGCCCCAGGGATGACAGTGCACGAATTTAATGCCAGCACTCTGGAAGCATGGGCAGATGGATCTGTGTGAGTTTGAAGTCAGCCTGGTCTATATGACACATCCCAGACCGTACAGGCCTATGTAGTCTCAAAAATAATAAATACAAATGGGGACTAGCATTCTAAAATCAAAACAACATCTACTATCCGTTTTTAAAACCGTTTTTATTTTCCCCTACACATTTGCAGCCTTCTGAACTATAATTTACACGTTGGTGTTTGTTCGTCTCTTTCTACTAAAATGTTGGCTGCAAGGGAGCAGGGAATTTTGTCCCTTCAAACTCGTGGAGATTCTCCTGCCCCAGCTTCCCCTGTGCTGAGATTACAGGCACACATGACCACTCTGGGATCAACTTTGTCCCTCTTAATCACAAATATAATGCCTGCCCTCAGCGCCTGAAGTGTGGCATCCAGCAGGCGCTCAGCAAACCGCTGACCGAACTCTAGACCTCCGCTTGGTCTTTTTCCAACAGACCTTTTGCCACCTTGTTCCAAGTAGGAAACAGGCCTCGGGAGGCGCCCAGAGGTGACCTCGGATGGCCCAACTCAGGAGATCCGGGAGCAAAGCCACCCGAGCAGCTGCAGAGAGGAGAAGCGAGGCCTGTCAGCGTGAGGAGCTTCCAGGAAGGCGCGCCAGGGGCTGTGGGCGGGGCCGTCGGAGGCGGCGCGGGGCGCGTAACTCGCAGGACACCGCCCACCTCCCTGTGGGCGGGGTATCTGAGTGGGTGGGCTATATGCAAATAATCGCGGGGACGCCGGCCAATCATGGGGCGCGCCGAGGTGCCGGCCTGGGACCGGACGC